CTCAGAAAAATAAATCTTGCCCACTTGTGTTGAAATTTTACTCGCCCTCTAATGCTGACACCTTTTACAGTAGACAAACACTACTGAAAAAATACGCGTTATCATACGATTAGGTTAGCTCGTGGCAAAACGCCGATCCAATGACTGATTCTAAAACCGTGAATCCCATCTCCTCTACAACACTTCTGAGCACCCACAATTCTGTTGAGGCAGAGCAAAAGGGTGTGAACCTTTCCACACAAAGCACATCGTATTCGGAAACGAACTTGAGTGAAAATGTAAGGTCCAAAAATGGTTCAGCGCATAACCGTAGACTAAGAAGGAAATCGACCGTAGATTTAGACTCCTCTGATAACAATCCCTGTACCCCGGTGATAAACTGCAGTACATCACCCAGTATTCACCAATCCAAGTAGTCTCAATTCCAGGAAGTTGAAGAATGGGGCTACCGGTTCGTCCACAAAGACGATGCAGAATAAGAGACTAATGCCACACACTAATTCAGATGCTCACAGTTTGATAACGCACCTCTCTCTCCAGAAACAAATATTCACAAAACCGACAGGGATAAAAACCGCAAACCAGAACCCGAAACTCGCAGCTACCCGTCCAAAAGAGTAAACCCACGCACCAATATAAACCAAAAGATTGATACACCTAGCTATAGGATCTCGAGTGGTGGTGACGTAAATCGCAACAATTCGAGTCAGTTTAGCTTCCTTGGTAGGCCATTTCCACCCAATTACATGCCCACACCCAACGGGGCTGACCACCCAGTGATCAGAAGTTTTGCTGAAACGACATTACCATTTTTTGTTCAGGTTCACAACATGACCTCAAACATACTACAAATGCTCACCACTCTCCACAGGTTTCGTCCCCCCCCCCAATATAGATATGACAGCTCATACGGCAATGCCAAATTACTGCCTGGAGCTTACCCTACATAGCCCAGATAATTCTCTTCTTCAGCAAAAACCCTCTATCTCCCTTTCTTATGACGGCCAATCTTCTTTACGTCCGAACTTGCATGAGCATGAAAATATGACTGACCCACTCTGCACTTCTAGCCTTCCTAGGGCATCGACAGACTTAAACATTTCATTGTCGTCTGAGGACACTATGACTGAATCTCATCACCAGCTACTTCAAGACATGGCTAAAATCTTAAGATATGACTCAGCTAATCCTAACGTAGTTCTTATTATTGCCAGGTCAGCTGCAAACAAGATAGCATACATCCAATCCCTGCTACTGATTAGCCAACCTATAGCACTAATGAACACTGAAGCTTGGTGCACAAGTGAAATAAATGATGATTTCTTTCGATGCGAAGGCTACTCATTTTTCAGGAAGGACAGATCAGTTGGGCGGGGTGGAGGATGCATTATCTATGTTAAATCTGACCGCAGAGCTGTGCACTATGATGACCCTAACCTGAATATATGCGATACATTATGGGTGACACTACATAAATAAACAGCAAATCCTGCTATTAGGTTGCATCTATCGCCCACCCAACCACGACAGTGAACTGCTAAGCGAGATAACTGCACTTCGAAATTAAACTTTACTTATAAAGTGATTGGAGGTGATTTTAACATGCCTGAATTGACCAGGTTTTCTGTCACTGAACTATGTACCCTTTTACGTTCTCCTTTTACTAGCTAGGCTAGATATAGTGTTCACGAGAGCGTTTTTCAAGTTGGCACATGGTACGGCCGATGTACTCAGCTTCACAAGAGCAAGTAAACTGGTATATGTCTTGTAGAGATGGAGGTCATCGATAGTTGATGATAAGGGGTTGTTTTCGAGGCTGGCCACAAAGCAGTCGGCTAGGAGTAGTCCGAGTGGAGAGCCTATTGCTACGCCATCTGTTTGCCTGTAGATTTCATCGTTGAATCTGAAGTAGACTTTGAAGGTACAACGAAGTAACAGCTCCTTTAAATAATGAGTCGGTATGCCAACATCTATATTGTTGCATTGGATGAAGTCACACAGAAAACAAATAGTTTCTGTCAGTGGAACATTAGTGAAGAGAGAGACGACGTCTAGGGAGACCATCTTTTTATTTGCAAGATTGACATTTTCAATTGAATCAACGAAATCGAATGTATCGCAGAGGTTGTATCTCGACAACTTTTCTTTCACTGGACCAAGAATTTCTACCAGCCACTTTACGACTTGGTGATATGGCAAATTAATCATATCTAAAATTGGGTGGAGTGGGACGTCATTCTTATGCACTTTGGATAGTCCATACATCAAAGGGAGTAAAATTAAGACATCTGGGTATAGCCGAGGCACTAGCCATCCGAAAAGTAAGCAGTCAAACAGAACCAGATCCATGATAAATGTAGAGGTTGGACTAGTTTCTTTTGAACACATAACTCTGGCTTTTCGATGCATATGGTGAGGAATTCTGAAGTACACAAGAAGTTGGTAAGACACTGTCTATGGTAGATTTTTGTTTTACTTTGTAAACGACTCTAAATGTAATGAGTCAGTTGAGTTGGTGTTACAGGTGTGCTGACGAGGTGTTAAATTATGGCGCATATGTCTGAACCACTGCCTCCTCTTTGCAGTCATGGTGGATAATGTTCTCTAATATGTTTTGATAGGACCCCTATAGAATGACCTATGTACTTAGCTCTGCAAGAGCAGGTGAACTGATATATGCACGTTGGAGTGGTCATATACGGAAGTTTGTCCTTCATATTGCTTAGAAGCAGTGGGCGGTTAGAGGATATCACTCTTCTTTTCTTCTCGTTATCATTATTATCTCAATTTGTTTCCATGCTCATCCTGTTTTTGCACCTGTATTTGTTTAAAAGAAAAACTATTTTACATATAACGCAACTATTTCCTAACCTTTTACAATTTTGTTTTTATTCCCGTTTGTAATCTATATATTTACACCATAGAACTTTCATACCAAGTTGAAAATTATTATCAACTTTGATCTCCTCTGTTATTGTGTGGAATCAAACGATAGTGATTTTATCTATGCAAACTTATGGCATATAAATGCGATTGTACAGCTGCTTTTAAGGATGAAATTGACGAAAAGATGGTTACCTTTTGTTTCATGAACTTCTTGTTCCTTTCCCTTAAATGTTCTGATGAGTATTTTCCAGGAATTCAATGCATTTCCTTCGTCATAATTGTTAGTCAATAGGCTGACTGGTTTGTTCCCTGAATTCTCCTGTTGCTTGTCTCCCTTTTTGGTCATTCGATATTCAGTAATTTGTGACGACAGCTGTTGATGAAAGTTTACCATAGTCACTGTTGGAAATGTGTTTGCTTGTTCCAAGTCATTGAACGGTATATGGAAGCAGTGAATGATGACTTGACATTAGTGTTGAGTATCCGAATCTTGTTCTTCAGGCTGAGTGTTGTAGATTTCTACACTGATTTCAGATAGATGAAGGTTTGTCTTGCTATTCTGATCTCAACTGGCTTCGATATCGTCATCTGCGTCGCCTTCAGTTGAAATGATGCTACCTGTATATATATATACCAAGTAAAATACTAAATCGCGCCAACACGGTAAGAAATTAAGATGCAGTAGATGCAGAACTCCGCCAACCGGAACAAGTTAGATTCATAAAAGGCAAATCATGTGTTGATTAAATTGAAAATCAACGCACCGTCATCGAACAGAGCATAGAATGGAAGCCAAAGCTCCCTCTACCTCAGTTTCGTCGACATTGAAAAGAGATTCAACAGCTCAGAATTGACCACGAAGTAATTTGGAAATTACTTCAACGCAACGGTGTGCAATGCTCCAAGCTTCATCAACCTTATTCAACAGCTGGCTATATGACAAGGCCACATGTCAGGTGATCCACGAAGGAAAACTCGATAGAGAGTCTTAAGGCGAAGCCAAAAGTAAGACAAAACTGCGTGTCTGCAGTCACTGATGATATTCTTAATTGTAGTGAACTGGATTATGCGTCAGACTGTGCACAGGGAGTGAGAAGACAGGAGTACGGTGGACTACTGGTAAGAGGACTCTGGAAGGTCTGTACTTTGCATCCGATCTATGTTGAATGTCACATAAATTCGAATACTTGCGGGCAAAACTCAACAAACTGACGGAAGAGGCGGCAGGGAAAACAAGACTCCAGGTGAACATAGAGAAGATGGAGATAGGGGATGAAGATAGCCAACCAACAGCAACAACAACAACTAGCACCGATCACCACCAACGGGAGAGATTTGACAGAGGATACCTCCTTCATTTATCTATGCAACCAGCATCGTTTCAACTACAGGTGGAACGAATGAATATGTCGAAGTCAGAATCGTAAAGGCAAGATACGCATTCATCACTCCGAAATAAGTTTGAAGATAATCTTATGTACTCAATCATTCTCAACACACTTAGAAGTCATTCAGTTCTTCTACATGCGTCGGAAGCACGGGACTTCACCAAAAGCATCTAGAACAGGCTATTTCAGACTTTTATCAACAGCTGCCCATATCGCTAGCTCCATAGTGAACATTAATGGGCTAGCCAAATAGAATTAGCAACAAGAATCTGTGGCAGAGAACGAACCAACAGGCGAGAACCGACTGTTCAACAAATATTCAAAAGAACATAGAGGTGAATAGGATACACACTGAGGAAATCATCAGATGACATCACGCATCAGGCCATCGTTAGGGTGGAAGCCGAATGAGAAACGACGAGTGGGGCGTCACTCTGAGGGTGAAACGGACGAGGGGATCAAAGACTATGGTCAACTGAGGGATCACCTAAAGGCTCCCACAGTGAATAGGACGTAGTGGAAACGTACTGCTGAAGCCTTTGTTCCTATCGGAACCCAAGAGAACAATGATATATATATATCAGTTATATTTCTTCAAATCACATTGCACAGTGAAGTACAAAACTGGAGCCTCGTTGTATTTGTATAGAATAGTGTAGTATGACTGACTACGTCTTTATAATTAGACATAATTAAGAATATATATGAATGTGTATAAGTTCTTACCATAATCAGTTCTTGCACCACAACTTCGCGTTATCTTTATCCATGAATTCCAACCAGTACTTTCTTGATAAGTTTTAACACAGAATGTTCCAGGTGAATAAGATAAGAAACTATTACAATCAATCATGGCATTCAGCCTTGTATCAAAATATCTTCTAGCTGGACATGAATGATCTTCATTACTATCACATTGATAACATCGTATTGCGGATATCTCTAAAATCGCCATCATCAAATAAAAGACAAAATTAGAAATTTAGGTTATTTCATTAAAAGCAAAGAGCTAATCTTGTGTACCGAACAAGTCTAGATTTCGTCACAAGTAATTCACAGAATCATTTACAGGCATGGTCGAAAACCTAAGAGAAGTCGACACGTGTTTTGCCCAGTGTTCGCACTCATGATCCCACTTGCCAGGAGTTCGACCAGGGACCTACAGGCTACAACATCTAACTCGCTGACCATTCAGTGACCCATGAATTCTTACTCTATAAATTCGTGATAAAGCGCTACTCACAACCAATGCCTTCGATAAACATCGATTTCGTCTTGACATGATAGAGCTCACTGGCTACGACTTCTCAGTACAGTTTGAGAACATCCATCCAGGAGCCATCAGTAAATTGAAGGTTGGTATTTAGATAATGCGTATTGGTAAGGGGTGAGGTAAATTTCATTTTGGATCACTGGTAGATTCATGAACAAGCTCTGGTGAAGAGTCCCAAACTAGGACGAAACAGCTTTCGCGATGGAATTTAAGAAAAAGCCTAAAAATTTATTCGAATTCACAAAAATCCCATAATTTTTTAATATTCCCAGTGTTTAGAAATATTAAACGAGATTTCCGATGTGAAATTAGACATAGTTTTTATATGATGCTATTTAGGTTGGTGGAATCCAAGAGCTGCATTTCGTACCACTTGAGACTCATCACATGGATGTTGTGTCTGCATCTTCAGTGGATGGTAGTATCCCCACTGAGACTCGAACTTAGTACTCGGTTGTTTCAAACTCCGAAACCACATGGGTCAAGTTTTGTGCAACGTGTGTCAGTTGTTGCTATGCTGCTAGGTTGACTATGTTGACCTTTAGACATCGTCAGTCAAATCGTTCGTATTCACAGCTGAAATATTTCAACGCAGACTGGGCGTTTCAGTCACATCTGGAGATCAAAACAACGCGGAATACAAAATAATTAAGATAAAAGCCTTTGGAATACTTGGAAATTAAATAGAGAAAGTTAAAGGAATTCATCATGAGCTGAGATCGGTTAGAAAACCATGAAATAATGATGAAATCCTGTAACCAATCAATGAAATCCCTACAAATAGAGAAAGTGTTGAATTAAAGTTTCATAAAATTCTTCCCATTCAGAAAATTGAACAGATCAAGAACGACGAGTAAATACCAGGATAATCTGAACTCATTTTTTTGTAATATTTCGAGTATTCTTAACTGGTCACAACCTACTGAACAATTCAAAAATATAAAAGTGTTGGTTTACTGCAATTTGATTGGCTACAGGTTCGACCACTAGCCGACATCAGCTAGAGAAGAATTGGAAAAACCACCTGGGAGTACTGGACAGCCGTTTCGTCTTAGTTCATGTCTCTTCATCCGTACGCACCCATCCCAACCCAGGTGTAGATCCTAGGACCCTCCGGCTACAAGATGTGCAAGCTCGTAGACCATTCAGCCACTAGGACACAATCCAATGACCAGTTCATGAATTCCAACTTCTGTGAATTCACGATATATAAAGCAAAACGGCAACTTCAGTCATTAGTCATCCCTTCTTACACCTTACATTATGTAGTAGAATTTTCAAGGACATAGTTTACCAGTATCTGATTGGTCTAAAAAATTTCTGTGTTAATTATAATTACGATTGTATTATAGCTCATGAAAATGAATCGTCGAAAAGGGAAAATTTTCTTCGCTGTTTGTGCCTTTTTTCTTATGACTCAATATGGGAATATTTCGTTCAACTTTAGTTCACTTGTCTTAATTTATGTGATCAGATAGTGCTATCATAAAATCATCCAAGAAACGTGTTATTTTTGTCTTCTGGCTCTACAATTATACATATATGTTTATATGCTCAGAATATTCTAGATTAATAGTCAATAGCAATATTACTGTTTTTTAAACAATATCGATTTTTCAAGTAAGATCAATGGAATTACAGTTGACGAATGATACTTAAATTATAATAATAATAATAACAGAAATATAACATCAAATAGAATATCAAATAAAATTAGGGAAGTTTCTACAAAAAACTGAGGATCGTTCGAACCTAGATGACCAAGGTAAGGACAATGTTTGAACTAGCTTCTTTTGAACACATAAATTAGGCTTCTTAATTTGGATCCCAACAACCAGCCTCAGTAATATGTAGTAGACGAACCCTTAAGGCGAAGTAAAGATTTGTTTGTATGCAGTAAATCAGTTTGAAAGCTTCCTCGTTGACATCAATCTTGTGTTCTGTGTCCACAAGATGAGGTAGAATAGCGCTATGTGAATGGATATTGTTTGTCCTTTACTTAACCAACCAGGATGGAGGGTGATTTTTGGAAATACGACGAGAAACACACCTAATTGTGTGGCCTAAGCAGCTAACCGGCTTCACAGAAGTGATCATGTGCATGGCTGAAGACTCCCAAAGTGAAACAAAACATCTATCTATCCAGTTCTCCTTAGTTTCACATGATTCATTAGCTAATGGAAATTATTTCACTAAGTCTACTTTAAGATTATATAGACTGTTTTTATCCTGAATGCCGTCAATCTCAAATAACAATCAGTACTGAATTGTATCAGTTCATATCTTGAATCATTCATTCTCAAGTAAAAATTCAAACACAGAATGTGTAATTTTTCTATCCATATACCAAGTGAAATAATTAAGAATAAATTAAGGAAACCAATTCAAAGAAATTTTAATGCTGGCGGCGAACTAAACGTCTTATTCTCTACACCACCGATGGTGGTGACTCCCCGACCAAAATCATCGAAGCACCGCATCCTCCAAACAGCTGAGGCTATTGCAATTCGCCTCAAACAACCAGTGCTTTGTGTGCAAAAGTAGCAAGTCCAGCCACTACTACTGCCCTGGCCAACCTTCAATAGAGACTATAACTTCATAGATTTGTAATATTATCTTTGTTAATTTTTTGACATTCAGCTTATTTTATGTTGATGCTATTGAACTGTTTTACACTGATATTATTATTATTGATTCGATGTTATTTAAACAAAATCAATGTTGTTGATAACACTAATTCATTCATTCACCATGAGGTATGTATAACTGTAGAGCCTGATGATGAATTTATCGAAAATGGGAATATTCTTAGTTGAGTATCCATTTGAAAATTTTAATGCACATATTTAATCAGTTAAAACTTTTTATCTTGTTGTAAATTATGCTACTTATTGAAGTAATCAGTAGTTTGGTGTGTTTAATACATTTTGTCATTAGGTATGGCGTGAATATATCAAAGGGTCAGTAGATCGCTGACGCCTCCTCTACGCGGTCATTTCGTCAATACAACCCAAAACTGTGTTTCAAAATAGTGTGTTCACCCATTCACTATACCAAGATCTTGAACTCTTTTTTGCTTGTCTGATCCTACACTTTTAGTAAAGAATTGATTGCACTCACTTTCAAAATGAAACTACTTAACAACCACCGCCACCACCAACAACTAGAATAACAAGCATCAGGGCAAAGTTAAACTTTAAGCACCACCACTAACCACCCATCATCAAATGACCTCGAATGCACGAATCACGTGAAGGAGGCATTTTTGTGTATGCAATACATATATTTATGGGGAAAAATTGCATAAAAACTGTAGAAAAATGTTACCTCTCACATGTGATAAAAGTAGATCTCAGTTTCAGGTTGGAGTATCAACAGAGCAATAAATTTTGCTTGAAACGTCATCAGTAAATATTACTGTATAACACTGATTTTATCAAAAAATTTATCCATAATGGAGTTATACTCTACCACACTGCACAAGTTCTATTCTTATATCAACAGAATAATTTGACCACATTCTATGCATGTAATTATTTAGGTCTTCTAAGCCTAACAATAACCCCAATCTTTCCTGAACCTAACCCTAAGGTGAAAATATCCTTAAACTAACTCTAATCTAACTTGAACTAACCCCAGTGTCGCCTTTATTAGGTCACCCTAACCCTAACTTGTTCTTGGCTTAAAGCGTAACAAACCTAAACTGAAACTTGCCAGATATCTCATTTAACAACATAACACTTCGATGAGTATATTTTATTGATGATGACAACATTATTTGGTAGGTATCACTAAATTGCCCAGTAAACGTTTCACGGGCATTGATGTGGTCTCACTCCATTGGTAGTTAGAGGTGCTTAAAGTTTAACTCGGCCAGTATCAGTTAGAGCCGAGGGGAGGAATCTAAAAGAAGTCACTTCCTTCGCTTATCTGGACAGCGTCATTTCAAGTAGAGGCGGCACAGATGAAAATGCAAACAGAAGGATAAGTAAAGGCAAGAGAGAGACCTACATTACTCAGAAATCAGTGTGGCGATTTGTTCCACTCAGCATGAGGAACAAGATTCAGATTTCCAACACTAATGTCAAGGTAGTCAGCGCTTCTATATGGTTCAGAAAGAATTCCTCATAAACTGACGTAGACTTTCTTCAGCATCTGTAAGCCAGAAAGGACTAGCGACGAACTACCTCCAATCTGTTGTTAAAAAAAACAACTGCCGAAGAAAATGGAGATGGATTAAGCACACTCTAAGGAGACTTTTGGATACTATCACGGGCCATGCAGTGTCTTCAGTGGAGCCCAAAGCGGAGAAAATGAGTTATCTGTAGGTCCAAAGGTGAAATGGAGGATATCAGGTGTGAGAAGAAAATGAAAGTCTTGACACAGTCGAGAATCGAGCTAAAAACGACTTCACAGAACACAGAGAAAAGGAGATTCCCTATTGAAGCCCTTTATTCCACTTGGAACCCAAAAGAATAATAAAAATAAAAGGAATACTCTTAAGGTTTTTGCTTTGTGCATCCTAATCCACCTTCTTTTGCACTATTCATGCGGATGTGCAAAGAACTCACAATTCATCTAATAAAAACCTGCCCTTTGTCAAGCTACAAAGCATGTCTTCAATTCTCTTGTTCACTGTCTTATAATTTTATCTTTTATGTCTTTGAAT